ACATGTACTGGGAACTTTACCTGTGTCATCAGATTAAATAGGTGTGGGTATTGTTATTCTAGCTTTACAAGGAACACATTGAGATTGAGTAAGATTAGTTGGCTTGTCCAAGGTGATATAGCTGGTAAAGTGGCATATTGGGGTTCATACTAAGATCTCTTATTTCTATTTTTAAAGATTTTTTTCATTTAATTCATTAATGATGATAGTTATGCTGGAGAGATTAGAAGAAAAAGGGAGAAGAGCAACGGAGGCAAAGAAGAATTTAATTTACAAACATGATCTAAATGTACATTTCAAATATGAAAAAGTTAAATCTGCTCTTTAGCAGGAGTTCTTAGATTGGGGGTTTTGGATCCCTAGGAGATCCATGGATGGGGTTCTAGAAAAGGGCAAACTCCTTGATATTACATGCAAAATTTTGTCTGTTCATTTTTATGAAAGAGAAGATTTGTGTTTTTCTAAAGATTCTCCAGAGTTTAAGAGTTGCTGCTAAGGAGAGGAACATACAGATTTATGGGAAGGAAAGGCAGGTGATATATTAGCAATTTGTCTTTTTCCATTGGCCATGTTCTGGGTATGTTATGGTTTTGGTTAAACCTTCCCATCTGGTTTCAAATATTTTTGCCTTAGACTATTTGTATATACCCCTTGGTTTAAGATTAGTTCATTTAAGCTTATTTTCTAAGTGTTAATTTTTGTTAATGAAAAAACAATAACATTCCTTTTGGTAGGTCAAGTATATACATTAAATTCCATAATTTCCTGATGTTGTTAAGCATCTAAAATATTTGTGATTTAAATTTTTGTAAAATATAGGAATGTAATGTAATAAAGGCACTTCACTTATTTTCATTTTCTTAATGAGTTTTTAATTCAAGTTCACAATGATCTAGTCAAATTGACACATACATAGGCCTCTCATAATGGCTCACATTATAGGTAGCCACAGTGTGGACATCCTGCTAAATATATCTCCGTCTAACCTGAGGCGTTACTTGTAGGAGTTTAAGAAAAGGAAGATTCAAGGCCTTTTAAGTCTCTTATTTTTCTTAATAAAGCTAAGAGGCGGGATTCAGTTAATAATTATCAAGATACTCACCTTGACAGCATTTTAAAAATGGACTAGTGCATTAAAATAATTGTGTTCCATAAAACAACATTTGGTCAGACTAAACTGAGACCTTCCGAGATTATGTATATTGTGGATATGTTCTCCTGGTTGTTTTTAGGGGACTGGATTTTATTTGCATGTTCATGTAGCCAGAACTTGGTCAGATTTTAATGGAAAAGCTAACAGTAATATAAAATTCTTACCTGCCCTAGCTGGTTTGGCTCAATGGATAGAGCGTTGGCCTGTGGACTGAAGGGTCCCGGGTTCAATTCTAGTCAAGAGCACATGCTAGGGTTGCGGGCTTGATCCCCATTGGGGGGCATGCAGGAGGCAGCCAATCAATGGTTCCCTCTCATCATTGATGTTTCTATCTCTCCCTCCCTCTCCCGTTCTCTCTGAAATCAATAAAAATATTTTAAAAATAAAATAAAACTCTTACCCTTCTTTTAAAAATAATTCCTTCGTTGCCTTGACCTGTGTTGCTTAGTTGGTTGAGCGCATGCACCAGAGGTCTGTGGTTCGATTCCTGTCAGGACACCTGCCCAGGTTGTGGGTTCAATCCCAGTAACGGGAGTGCAGGAGGCAGCCAATTGATGTTTCTCCCTCTGCCTTCCTCTCTCTCTCAAATCAATAAAAACATATTTTTAAAAAGTAAAAATAAAAAAAAAAACTCTTTGGTGAAATTATATTCTCCTTTCAATGATGTTTGTGAATGGAATTGAACAGTGGAAAGATGTTTTAAATATACATTGTGATCATCAGGTCCTGAAGTGTAGCCTCCTTAGTATTTAATTTCTTGTGTGGCCCTAGGGGGTTATTGGTGAAAGTTAAGGTAGCTTCAGCAACTGTGCGATGAGCAATGCACATTGGTTTTTATTGTCTTACTAGAGGCCCAGTGCATGAAATTCGTTTGTGGGAGGAGAGAGGGGCTCAGCCCGGCCTGCAGCCTCTCCTAATCCGGGACCCCTGGGGGATATCCAACTGCCGGTTTAGGCCAGATCCCGCATGGCCTAAACTGGCAGTTGCACATCCCTCTCGCAATCCAGGACAGCTAGCTCCTTAATCGCTCGCCTGCCTGCCTGCCTGATCGCCCTAACTGCCTCTGCCTGGCTGCCTGAACGCCCCTAAACACTCTGCCTGCCTGCATGATTGTCCCTAACCACTCACCTGCCCGCATGATCGCACCTAACTACTTACCTGCCTGCCTGATTGCCCCTAACCACTCACCTGCCTGCATGATTGCCCTTAACCGCCTCTGCCTCCCTTCCACCTCAGCTTTATCCAGACAGACATCTGTCCAGAAGGTCGTTCGGCTGTCTGGTCTAATTAACATATTGTGCTCTCATTATTCTAGATATGGTAATGTGAATTTACCCTTTGCATGAAGTAATATCTCAAATACAACCAACAGTAACCAGCACTCTCTCTTAATAGTCCTATAGTCCATTTCCCTCTGAGCTTTCAGCTCTGTGGCACGTTCTCTATCTCATGAGGTAATTAGGTGACTTTCAGCAATCATTTCAGCACTGCATTATATCCTTTTAGCCTCCAGTAGCAGTTTCCTTGCCTCCTACCGGCCTCCTAACCTTTCTTACATATTTTGGGTATTTTGATGAAGCAGCACCCACTTCCAGATTCCACTTGTATACGCCGGGATAGGCCAGGTTATGCTGTAGGCATAAACAACACAAAATCCCAGTGGCTTTGAAAACACACTCTGTGTAAAAGTAAATTTTTAAAAAATCCACTGCGCTGTGCATATATCCTGGAAGTACTTTTAGTCCCTCAGGGACGCCAGCTGATAGCACAGATAGCCGTCATCACCGTGAAGATCGCCGCCCCTGTGGCACCTGTGGCAGAGGGAACGAGGTCTGAGGCTCTCGTCTTGGTTAGAAGGTGCCCTGGCCTCTGTGTGTCACATCCACTCCCGATGTGCTGCCGGGCAGGGGCAGGGCTGGAAAGTGCAGTCCTACCCTGGGCCCAGAGTAGTTGGGAAGAAAGTATTAATGGCCAACCACAGAGGCTTTTTCTTCCCTCCCTCCTTCCTTCCTTCTGTTACTTATTTTTTGTCCTCCTGACTTTTATTTAACTCTTAGCGTTTGCTGGTTAGATGAATTTTATTGTTTCTCTTCCCTTGCTTAATTTGAGATCAATGTAAGTTTATATAACAGTACTTGTAGTAGTTTACATTATTTCCAGGGTCAGAAGTTTTGGTACATGTGAAATAAAGTTACTTGGATTTTCCTACAGAAAATATGAAGTGTGAAACTGTTTATTGCAAAAAGATCTGTGATTACAGGAGTAATTAATTTTAAGTTGTTTTTTGGAGTGTCACTTGTCACAGTAGAGATAGACTATGAGCTTTGGAGTCGGGCAGGCCTAGGATCGAACGCTGCTTCTGTCATTGAGTAGATATGTGATCTTAGACAAATTAGTTAGCCTCTCAGAGGCATAATTTTCTCATTAATAAATACAAAAAAGTAAATAAATCTATGCAGATGTCAAGTAAAATATAATAGCATTTATCACCATTCCTTTCTGAAATTCTACTAAAATGAAAGTAAAATAATTTTTAAAGCCGAAACCGGTTTGGCTCAGTGGATAGAGCGTCGGCCTGCGGACTGAAAGGTCCCAGGTTCGATTCCAGTCAAGGGCATGTACCTGGGTTGTGGGCATATCTCCAGTAGGAGATGTGCAGGAGGCAGCTGGTCGATGTTTCTCTCTCACTGATGTTTCTGACTCTCTATCTCTCTCCCTTCCTCTCTGTAAAATATCAATAAAATATATTTTTTAAAAAATAATTTTTAAAGAACAAATCCATACAGAGAAAGAAAATGGAAGAGAAGAATAATGTAAAAATCAACCCCAAAGTTTTGCAGTGGTTATTAAATAGAAATAATAAGCACCCTCACAGTGCCTGTGCACGTAGCAGGCATTCAGTAAATACTGGTTTTCTTCTTTTGTCAACTAGACAGGGTATGTGTTTGTAGTCATTTCATATGACTCAGAGTTAGGTGGTTGGCTAAACAGCAATGTGAGGTATGTCACAAAGCAAATTACATGCCTCTCTGATCTTTTTTTTTTTTTTAAGTGATGGTTTTATTTTTCTTGGAACCATATCAACCTGATGTTACTGTTTCTTAGAATTTAGATTTCTGCAACTGACACGTGAAGAATCACCCAGTTACTGAGTGGATCTAGTGAGCTATGCATAGAACAAATTTAAAAATACTTGGCAATTTTGAAGTTATTCTGACAAACCTAAAAACAATAGTACCTAAAGTAATAATCTATATCTAGATTTAAATAGTTTAAAGCCAGGGACATTTTCTCTTTTCAGTAGTTATGCCAAGTAGCAGGTTTATCTCCTGGCCTGCAGTGCCTAGCCACTACCACCTTTGTCCGTGAGCCCTCACGGTGGTGGACAGCGGGGTCTGATACTGAAAGGAAAGCCAGCAGCAGAATGCTCTTGTGTGTTCCGTGTGCGACACATTTATATAACCAGGCTAAATTGTAGACAGGTATATTTTGCCATATCAGTATGCCTCATAGCATCTAGGATAATGAGTGCTATGCAGTAGCGGCTATTCATTTAGTCATCAAACGTATACTGAACACCTACTAAGTGCTAGGCATTGTGCTAAGCTCTAAAGATATCTCAGTGAAGGGACAGTGACTCCTGCTACCTTAGAATTTACTTAGAATCTAATTCTAACAAAATGTTTGTTGAATTCATGTAACCCAGTAAAATAATGGCCCACACTGAACCATTTAAAAGCAGAAGAAAGAATTGTATAGAGAGAGAGTTTGATGGTTTTAGGCTGTGTTTGCTGCATGGTGTAAGTGCATGTTCTACAAAGGAAATAGTGGTATCTGACTTTTTTCTTCTTTGCTTTTCTTTGTAGATAAGATGCTCCAAGTCACTTGCAGCTGATCTTCAAAAGAAAAATCACTAGCTCTGCTCTTGCCATAATACCAAACCCTTGACTTACGCTTTGGTGCTGCATCACTGGAAGAATTGCTCACGGGTTCCAGGAATACCTTTTTTTTTTTTTTTTCATTTGAGTGATTCTTTGTGGATGGAAAAAGATTTGAGTCTTGATAATTACACTGTTTTAAAGCTATTTCTTTATAGTCTGAACTGTTTCATAAATCGGGCCACTTACCAATGAGCCACACAGCCGGCTCCTGTCAGGAGCTGGTTGAAAACTGTGCTGCGCATGTAGCAGAGATGGCACAGGAAGACGGCCGTCGTGCTCAGGTGCCATCTACCTTCTATCATGGTGCCAACCAGGAACTGGACCTGTCCACCAAAGTGTACAAGAGGGAGTCGGGAAGCCCTTACTCCGTGTTAGTGGACACCAAGGTGAGCAAACCGCATCTCCACGAGACAGAGGAACAGCCGTATTTCAGGGAGACCAGAGCCGGCTCCGACGTGCGTGCTGTCAAAGAAGACCGGGAGAATTCTGATGACATGGAGGAGGAGGAGGAGGTCTCTTACAAAAGGGAGCAGATCATCGTGGAGGTAAACCTTAATAATCAAACGTTAAATGTGTCTAAAGGGGAGAAGGGTGTCTCTTCTCAGTCCAAAGAGACTCCTGTCGTTAAGACGAGCAGCGAGGAGGACGACGACGAGAGTGAGGAGGAGGCCACGGACAACAGCAGTGACTATGGGGAGAACGCGAGGCAGAGGAAAAAGGAGAAGGCCGCGGAGAAAGTCGGCGTCGCACAAAGGAGGACGAGGAGGGCTGCCTCTGTGGCCGCAGCGCCCGCTTCCCCTGCTCCCAGAACTACACGCGGGCGTAGGAAGAGTGTGGAGCCTCCTAAGCGGAAGAAGCGGGCCGCCAAGGAGCCCAGAGCGTCGGCCCAGAAAGCTAAGTGTGAGGAGAAGGAGACTCTGACCTGTGAGAAGTGCCCCAGGGTGTTTAACACGCGCTGGTACCTGGAGAAGCACATGAACGTTACTCACAGGCGCATGCAGATTTGTGATAAGTGTGGCAAGAAGTTTGTCCTGGAAAGTGAGCTGTCCCTTCACCAGCAAACAGACTGTGAGAAAAATATCCAGGTAGGTCTGTCTCATCACCGAGAGGGCACGCTTCCCAGCATAGAGCCTGGCTGTTCAGACTCACCCGGTATCTGCCCAAGAGAATAAGTACAATAGAGGCTGAAGGGACAGATTTCGCCAGTTTAGCTCTTTAACAGCTCCTGCTCTGGTCTTTGCCAAACCCAGGCTTAACGTTTTATTTCAAAAGCATTAAATTTAACTGACGCTGGACTAGCGGGAACCCAGGTACTTGGAAGGGGGATCTGTTGTAGGGGATTGCCCCGTAGGTGAAGTCACCGCCGACTTTGCACTGAGATTCAGAGTTGTTATCATTCATTCTGGCATCTTCTCTGTCGAGGTGGGAAATCCTGGGCAAAGTGCGGGAATAGAGAGTCCCTTTCTAGGCTTGAAAGGATGCCAGGGTCTAGTGCAGCCGATGGGGACAAAAACCGTAATGACTCAGACCGTGGAAATGGAAGATCTCCAGGAGTGAGTTTGCTTTCACCAGTGGAGAGATGACAACACTAAATTTGTCAAGAGGCTGAGCCCATGGGAATATGCAAACTTTAAACAGAGGCTGAGCTGGTTGCAAATGTTGCCCGCCTGGCAGTAGCGCTATGTAATGCTACTGTACCGTATGGTTAAGGTAACAAAACATGGTACTCAAACCAGGCTGGTGCCTTGAGAGGACTGTGTTGCCGTAGGGTAAAAGTTGTGCTAATTATGTTTTGTCAAGTGAATAATACTACTGTGCTGAGCTATATTGGTTAACACATGCGAATGCATATCAGTGAATACTTATGAAGGTAAGTCTATTAATGCCTACATAAAATATGTAAAACAGATACTTTGTTCCATATTTACGCTAAATTTCTTTTAAAAGATGCAATTGTTTTGTTTTGGTTTGTTTCCTGGAGTGCTCCTTATTTTTCACATTTCCTCTTGCTTTTAATCAACAACTGAGATCATTGCTTTACTTTAAAGAGAGTTTTAAATATATCGAGTATAGCCCAGCCAGTGTGGCTCAGTGGTTGAGTGTCGACCCATGAACCAGGAGGTCAGGGTTTGATTCCTGGTCAGGGCACTTGCTGGGGTTGCTGGCATTATCCCCAGTGGGGGGCATGTAGGGGGCAGCCAATCAATGATTCTTTTTGATTCATCAGTTGTGATTTGATCTCCCAAATGCTGGGTAAATAAGAGAAAACAGAGTCATGGCTTGGGGATGAATTGGTTGCCAGGGTTCAGGCCACAGGGAGTGAAGTGGTGCTGCACCCTAGGGGTCTCACTAGGTCTGTGCGTTCGTTGCTGAAAAGGTGTACCTTGAACTTGAAGACCTTTTTACGCTTTTTTTAACCTAAATTTACTTTATTAAGTTACAGAAAAGGAAGCATTTGATGAATCTTCTTTTGTGCCTTTCCGCACTGTTTCTCACCGTCACGCGTGTAAGCATGCGTGTAGGTTCTTGGGTGCTGCTTTGCTCCTCAGTATGGATCCTCGTGATCGTGACGACCTAGCAGCAAGTAGAAAGTAAAGCCTGTCCCGCAGAATGGCTTATAGGCGTTGTCTGTCCTTCTCTCACGCGCATTCGTCAGCGGCTTATCTTTTTAACCTTCCCGGCGTCTTTGTTTCCTGAAGTGACAGTGATGTTAAGAGATCTTTATTTACAGTGAATTCAGAGTCTGATTGTTACCTAGAACTTTCTAGTATTGTTTTGATTTAACCAGAAGCACTTTATTTTCATACACTTTATGCCTGATCGTCTAGACCAGTGGTTCTCAACCTTCCTCATGCCGCGACCCTTTAATACAGTTCCTCATGTTGTGGTGACCCCCAATTTCATTGTTACAAATTGAACATAATTAAAGCATAGTGATTAATCACAAAAACAATATGTAAGTATACATGTGTTTTCCGATGGTCTAAGGCGACCCCTGTGAAAGGGTCATTCGACCCCCAAAGGGGTTGCGACCCACAGGTTGAGAACCGCTGGTCTAGACCATTAATGATTCATAACACAAGGAGCTAAGCAGTGTTGCAGGTGTTTCTATAGGTTGGCGATTTTCAACCTTTTTCATCTCGTGGCACATAAACTAATTACTAAAATTCTGCGGCACATCAAGAAATACATTTCCTGCCTATCTGACAAAAATATAGGCATAATTTTTGTGCATTCACACTGGATGGCTATCATGTTGGCTGTTGTAATATTTTATTTGACAATCTAAGGCAGCGCTTCTCAACCTGTGGGTCGTGACCCCTTTGGGGGTCGAACGATCCTTTCACAGGGGTCGCCTAAGACCATCCTGCATATCAGATATTTACATTACGTTTCATAACAGTAGCAAAATTACAGGTGTGAAGTAGCAACGAAAATAATTTTATGGTTGGGGTCACAACATGAGGAACTGTATTTAAAGGGCCTGACGGTTGAGAACCACTGATCTAAGGGGTCAGTGCCCCTAACTGAATAGTCAGGTATTGCATGTTTTAAAAACTCTGTGACACACCCACTGAAAATCGCTGCCGTAGGGACTTGCAGCTTATGTTAAATTCTGCCAAAGGGAAATGTTAATACAGCAAATTACATTTGGAAAAATATAATAAAATCTCAGTAATTTGTGTTAACGAAGGTTCCAAATACATTCTCTAAGGTACAAAAATATTGCTATACTTCTGCAGATCTATAACCATTAATACGTATTTTGTTTTTTCTTTTATTTATGTTAGTTTGAAATTAGTTTGTATTTTCTGGCAAACACCTGTGACCCACGTGTAGGAGGCGGCCGCTTTGGGTAATGCATATGTTTTTAAAGCTGGCAGCTTCTTTTTATGGGCACAACACAAACTTGATAAAGCAGTCCCTTCTTTGACGTTAGTGGGACTTCCCATTTCTTCCTGTCTTATTTTTGCCGTTGTTTTCATATCCCAAAGTGTGTCTAAAAGATGCATCTTGGAAAATAGGACACACAGATACTGGTGTCGGACCTGGACTGCATGGCCGGATTGCACGTGTTTGGATTCTGGCCTTGCGCCAGGACCCTAGCACACCGTGTCGCCTGCCAGCAGGCCGGTCTGGCTTTCCGCAGCCCCTGTAAGTAAGATGATTTCTGCTTGTCCTGCCCAGTGTGTTTCCTGTAACAAGTCATTCAAGAAGCTCTGGTCCCTTCATGAACATATCAAGATCGTCCACGGATATGCAGAAAAGAAATTCTCCTGTGAGATCTGTGAGAAGAAATTCTACACCATGGCTCACGTGAGGAAACACATGGTCGGTGAGTTCTGTCGGCTTCTCTTCTCTCACCTGCAGTTTTCCCTTGTGCTTTGGTGTGTTGCCTGCTCTGTACGGGGCAGGATACGAGGCACTGCCTCACTTTAGTCCCTTCGGACTGGTTGGAATTAAATGCACCATGTCGTCAGGAAGCATCACCAAATTGAACGGTCCAGGCTCCGTTCTTCTCACCGTTGCTGTTTATTTCCTCTTCAGAACATTGCTATGAAAGCCTCCCATGTTAGCGGGTGGGAAGTTAAGGTGGTGAGATGGCCTTACAGTAGGACACCGACCTTTTTCAGTTGGAGCTTTGGGTGAACTTATTTTGAGTAAAGTGCATTCTGTGTTGCAGCGCACACGAAAGACATGCCTTTTACGTGTGAAACCTGTGGGAAATCGTTCAAACGCAGCATGTCACTCAAGGTGCACTCCTTGCAGCATTCTGGAGAGAAGCCCTTCAGATGCGAGGTAAGGAAGGTGCCACCGCCGGGCGCAGGCCTCGGGGCTGGAGTAGCGTTGGTCCGTGTGGGGCAGCCGCGAGAGGCGGTTCCGAGGTGCGGGGCGTCAGGCCGCGAGGCCACAGAGCCCGCAGACAGGTGCTCTGAGCATCGTGTTATCTCACTGCTCGGTAGAGAAATACCCTTCTTGTGTGTTTTTTGTTTTTTTTAATCCTTACCCAAGATACTTTTTCCATTGCTTTTTAGAGAGAGGGGAAGGGAGGGATAGAGGGGGAGCGAGAGAAAGGGAGAGAAACATCAATGTGAGAGAGAGGGAGAGAGACATGGATTGGTTGCCTCCCACACACGCCCCAGTCAAGGCTGGGGATCAGACCTGCCGCCGAGGTTCGTGCCCTTGGCCTGGAATCAAACACAAGACCCTTTGGTGCACTGCGGATGCTCTAACCACTCCGCCACGCCGGCCAGGACGAGAAATGTCTTTTTTTAGCACATTGTTAAATTTTAAAGTGACACATGCGTTATTTTTCTTTTAGTAAATCAGTAATCATATGAGAAGTTCCCCTTTTATGATAACTCAGCTGCAGAATTATAGCAGAGCCAAGTAGTTGACAAAGGCAGGTTCTGTGTTGAGCCGGAAAAGTCAGCCTCTCAGAGGGAGGGGGGCTCAGGCAGGAGGCGGCCGTGCTCGGCACCCAGGAGTCCCCGTGTCCCTTGCAGAACTGCGACGAGCGCTTCCAGTACAAGTACCAGCTGCGCTCCCACATGAGCATCCACATCGGGCACAAGCAGTTCATGTGCCAGTGGTGTGGCAAGGACTTCAACATGAAGCAGTACTTCGACGAGCACATGAAGACGCACACTGGTAAGGGCTCCTTGGGGAGGCACGGCTCAGTCTCAGGTACCTGCTGATCACCTGTGAGTCTGTTTATTTCAACATGTAAACACCAGTTTTCATGCCTAGTGGACATTTCACTTCAAATAAAAATACAGATTTATAATACTGAATGATTAGGCTTTCATAACTCTATTTTATTTTTTTAATATATTTTATTGATTTTTTACAGAGAGGAAGGGAGAGGGATAGAGAGTTAGAAGCATCGATGAGAGAGAAACACCGATCAGCTGCCTCCTGCACACTCTCCACTGGGGATGTGCCCGCAACCCAGGTACATGCCCTTGACTGGAATCGAACCTGGGACCTTTCAGTCCGCAGGCCAACGCTCTATCCGCTAAGCCAAACCGGTCAGGGCATAACTCTATTTTAAAAAGGATTACTTGTTAGTGCCCTTTAACTTCAGGTTCCTTCAAGAAAATGGATTCTTTACTCAGGGCATAGGGTCTCCTGAAATAGTATGAAACTTGTTTGGTGTGTATTTTTTCTAAGGAAAGGGTTCTGGACCTTTAACAGCTGGAAGACACCGACTGCTTTAAATAGAATACGCTCGGTACTCTTCAAGTTTGATTGGGTTTATGTTACCAAAACTCACTGCTTTTCAGGAAGACATCCACCCTCTCAGCGCTCCACATACCCAAGGACATTCGCAAATGGTGTGGGGACATTTTTTATTATAAAAATCTCAGGCATGTAGTAAGCTGGCACCAGGAATGCTGCGTGCCCTTCAGGAGTGCGGAGTCCCCGTGATGAAGGGCCGTCTGCAGAAGTGCCAGTAGCTCCCGTGCAGAAACACCGCAGCGTGAAATTCACACGGAAGGCTGCGTCCAGCCCCTGTCCACGTCCAGTTCCAGAGTGAGCCCCAGGCTGAGGGTGCTGCCCGAGTGGCCACCTAGGGACTCGCTCCACGGGACATTTTCAGCAGAGTCCCACTTGTGGCTGGAATGCCGGGTCCTGCCTGCAGACCAGCTTGCCTGGACTAGAGGCGGGGATTGGTCTGTGGTGTGGGTTCCTGGATTCCTGGGGCCCAGGGCCTTGTGTGAGCAGTTCTCCCGTAGGCCCCGAACGATCGCTACTGTAGGCGCCTTATTGTAAACCAAGCCCAGATGTAGGTTGTCTGTTCGTTTTACTCGTGTCTGTTCTAAAGTCCCCACTTTGGGAGACTCGTGTTTTGCTGTTAGAATATAACATGCCATAAGGGAGCGGGGCGGCAATCTCCTTTCTTAATCTAAGGAATGACGAGCACATAATTATGCCGAGTCGCTGATCATTTTTGTGTGTCTGTTCATCTCAGGAGAGAAACCCTTTATCTGTGAAATCTGTGGCAAGAGCTTCACCAGCCGCCCCAACATGAAGAGGCACCGCAGAACTCACACAGGCGAGAAGCCCTACCCGTGCGATGTGTGCGGCCAGCGGTTCCGCTTCTCCAACATGCTGAAGGCCCACAAGGAGAAGTGCTTTCGGGTGACCAGCCCCGTGAACGTGCCGCCTGCTGTCCAGATCCCACTGACCACTTCCCCCGCCGCCCCCGTTCCTTCTGTGGTGAACACACCCACAACCCCAGCCCCTCCCATCAACATGAACCCTGTCAACGCTCTCCCGCCGCGGCCTGTCCCCCACCCGTTCTCACACCTGCACATCCACCCCCACCCGCACCCGCACCACCTTCCCATCCCACCCGTCCCTCACCTCCCCCCGCCTCCAGCTCTCTTCAAGAGCGAGCCTTTAAACCACCGCGGCCAGGGCCAGGGCGAGGACAGCTTCCTGCGGCACCTGGCCGAGAAGAACAGCGCGGGGCAGCACCATTAACACCGTCTCCGGGGTGTTCTCCACGGTGTTCTCCACGCTGCGTGCCCACAGGCAGCCGGCGAGCGGGGGGCATGGCCGCCCTGTCTGCTCAGCCCGCCAGGAGCTCGGCACTGTCTTGGTGAATCAGCACATCGAGGGGTCGAACACGAGCACCTGGAGCCCTGGAGGGGCCGTCATCCAAACCAGGGGAGCCACCAAGCGGAAGCCCACTGTGCTTGCATTTTCTGGTGACTTTTATAAATGTCAAACACTCAGACTGTGGAATTTTATAATTTCATATCAGCTGATGAGGTATGCTTGCTTTTCTACCCCGGACGTCTCCTCCAAGAGGGGACAGGCCTGGTTTCCTTTGTACTAATCGGGAAGACTGTGAGGTTAATCCAGAGCATTAATTGTATCACTGTGTATCGTAATGAATTCTTTTCAGCTTTTGGTGCTGGCTACCCAGTTGAGCTGGCCATGTTTTCACAGTATATCAAGCATTATAGAGAAAGATGGAAATTTTCTTCTTTGTGTAGCTCTCCTAACACACTCTTTATTTTACTACAGAAATTATTTTAGAGTTTTTGTATAGACTTCTTTAGTAGTCTGTTTCTAAAATGAAATGTATTTCAATAAGCGGTGTAATTTTTTCAGTGTCGCTGGACCTATGGTGTAAAATAGAAAAAAAAATTTATAATCATCAAAATGTGATTCTTAAAGATGCATATAACTTCTATAGTTCAAAGTTACTATTCTTACATCCGTACAACTCAAAGGTGCTTCAGAGGCTAGTTGTGTGAGAGGGTCTCCAGACCATGCCACCGCAGAAGTGAGGTTTCGCTTTCAGAACTTGGCGTCAGCCCTAGGTAGTTTTTAATCTCTGCTTAATACTCAGTCTTTGGGCTCACTGACACGCTCCTGTCCTCCGGGCTTCGTTTGGTTCAGTTCGTGCATTAAGTGGACGGTTTGCAGAGTGTGGGGCCTTTCCCAGGGAAGTCGCCCGAAGTAGCCTGTTTCGAAAATCCGAGGAAAGCTGCTCACTGTCCAGAGGAGGAAGTAGTGGGGATGGCCTCACCCCGTCACGTCTGTTTCTCACTTCCCTTGGAACCGTGCGTGAAGTCTCCGTACACTTCTCATTTTGAGGTCGCTTTATTTTTCTGGAATCGTCAGGAAAAGGTAGAACAGCACACCGAGATCACAAGCGTGGCGGTGCGGAGGGCTGAGCAGTGTGGGCGGGAACACAGAGCTGGAGTTGGCGTGTCCGTGTCACTGCACAGATCCACGGCCGGGAGCCGTTCCCACCGTGAACTGCGGCCCGGCCTGTGCTCTGCAGGCCTGGGGTCGCAGCGCGCGTGGGCGATGCGGAGGGCGGCCTCGCTGAGACCTGCGGCAGGTTCCTTTTTCAGTCTGGAGAACTTTGAAAGCACAACCAACCAGCAGCTGACTGTAGGCAAGGCTGCACAGAAGGGCTAACTGTCAGTGTACTTAGGGATCAGATTTATCCAGATTCAGTACAACTAAAACTTTTGTCCTCTTTCATCTCAGAGAACTGAGTTCCAAAGCTAGGAGTCTCCTCCCTTTCTCTCTCCTCCTCTTTCGGTTTTTGAAAATTTGTTTATTTAAAAATACGTAGAACGCTTCCTGAGTTTGCGGGTTGTCTCTGTGCGGAGGGAGCGGATCCTCTCGGACCGGTCCTGGCAGCCAGGTGCTGCCGAAGGGCGCACTCTTGATTTTGTTAATCCTGAAATGTCTTCGTTTTTCTTTCCTCCGGCTGGTAAGTCATTGCCTGAGTCAGAACCCCGGCTTTTATTTATTTTTAGTAGTAATCAGCAGACATACTGTAAGCACCTTTCTGGCTGATTAGCTCTGATGAGGGGAAAGTTGAACTTTTTCCATCGAGATTAAGTCCTATTTTAAAAATACTGCATTCTCTATTTGCTTTTTGGTTTAATATGTCCATTTTTTCCCCATTGTGATTGTTGCCTTTGTCTTCTATAATGAGCATAGACAAATTTTGGAACGAGGCAGAAAAGTATCTCAAAACACGCTTTTCTTCCTGGTTTTGGATCTAATTTCTAAAGAATGCTACTTTTGCTACTTTAAATATTTGTATACATCCTTTGAACACCCAGGTACCCCACCGAAAAAGGACAGTTAATTCCCTGTTTGTTCCACCTTTGGTGGCCACCTGCTGTCGCTCCCACAGTCTCCTGGGAATTCCATGGCAAGCTTTGGGTCTGCGCCTTTATGTAGACATCATTATCTCATGGCCACGCCTACGATATTCAAGTCACTTTTTACTAGAGATGTAAATTGCAGCCTGGTTCATTGGCTATACCTTATTTTATCTAAATAAACGTACAGTAAAGGGCAGCAATTCTGAATTCTATACTTGAGACCATTGAAGCAACCGTTTTATGAGGTGTACTACGAGTATACACTGGAAAATTCAGGTAGTCATCTTTGATTTCTTTATTCGAGTGAATATAGCCATAAGAAAGTATCTGCTACACAGGAAAGCCGGTATTAAGCAAATAATCACCCCCACCCTTAACAGAAGCAGGTTTTTTAAATCGGCACGTCACGCAATACAGTTCTTAGTGAGACGTGTGGTGGAACAATCTGAAAACTTCCAGTTTCCCCCCACTGCATAAGTATTCCTTTCCCGGCAGGATCTGTGGTCTTCAGGAAAATTGCCCAAAATATAACGACCCTTCATCAGTGGCATGTCACATAGGAGTAATGAGACGCATTAAGCTTAGTCACAACCTGAATGCTTCTGAATGTGAGAACTGCAGGATTAAGCCTTAAACATGTGCACGTCAGGTGTAACATGCCTGAGGCTCAGACTCAGGGTTGAAAACTTGATTGGGTCCTTAATGCAGATAAGAGTTGCAGTACGTGTGTTCTCTCCCACGTACAGCACAGCACCCGTGATTTTTAAAAAACCGATTCCTACTTGCTCTCTGTTTATGGGAAGGGGAACTGTGGAGGGGTTTGAGTTCTCAGCCATTATCTGTACTTAAGTCTGTTTTTTAAAGGTAGCAGTGGCCATATCTCAGCATTACACAGATACCAAATGGAGGCTGTTTCTCACTACTTAACTTAACTTTATTGTCTTGTACCATTGCCGGGGTCAAGACTGACTTGAGGAAAGGTCCCAAGGACTTTCTTGAGTTGATACTGCTTTTTTTCCATTTTTTTTCTCATAGATTTATCATTCAAATATAAACTCTTCCTTAGCCTATCGAAGGGCTGCTTGCTGCTTTCTCATATTAAGTCAGGTCTGCTCAGACCAAGCTACATTTTTTAATTTGGAGGATGTAAGGTGAACAGTTGAAAAGGTATGTGGCTTCATTTCCGATTTGATTCTTATTTTTAGCAAGCAGGGGGGTCACCACATAAAACTTTATGGTTACATATGCTTTCCCAGTCTACCACTTACATGAGCTGTTCTCTGTTAATGACTGACGTTCCTTATAATCTGACTGTCTTTAGTGTACTAACTGGAGGCAAAATACTCTGAAGAGATGCTTGTGAACTTTGAATGTTCTACTTCTTGAACATTTTTCAGTGTTTATGTTCATGAGTGGACATATGTGGTTAGTTTAATTTTTATTTCACTGGAAGTTTTAAATTTTGAGATCAAGCAGAAATAGAAATCCATTGCAGATGTATGTATATTTACCCCATCTTGCCGATTTCCGTTAGTGAAACACAGGTGGTGGTGGGGTTTTATTGTAAGAAAAAAGAACTAAAGTTAGAGAAACCTTTCTGTTTGAGCTACTGTATAGAAGACACAGCTTTGATTACATTGTTGATCCACATGACGAACATTTCGATGCTGTTCTAGACTGTGTGGGAAGTATTTAATGAAAAGGGGGTTAGATTACATTGAAGAATTTTATCAGCTATGTACCATTACAAAAATAAACTCACTTGGAACTCTTCAGACTGTAAAACCCTTCAGACTGTAAAATTTACTGAGAGCAAGTAAATATTGGGTTTTCATTTTCCTTTGCCTAAACCAAGATAAAAAATTTCCCAAAAGGTCATTTTTTCAGGAATGAGAGGTCATTGGCCATTAGAGATAGTGGCATTATTATGCAATACCAGCGCCTACCTAACCTGCTTCTGTCCACGATAGCGTTTATAACAGGTACCGATGACCTTCCAACCCTGGGCACTACCTCGTTAAAGCAAACCAGGGATCCTCTCTACACCTTCTATGGAAGCCATAAGAGTCGCCATCAACACCCCCACTTTCCTACTTCTCTGCTTTTCTACACTCTAGACTTTGTATAGACTTTATGATGAGATCTTTTTGTCTCAGAGGATAGGTTTTGCAAGATTCAAAAGAAAAACTCCTTGGTTGTCCCAACTTTGAAGCTGGAGGCTCACTACATTTAAATAAAGAACCAGATAATGTACCGTTTATCAAATTCTTCATTTAAGTCAAAACTACTTTGCAGAGTTGCCTATTCAGAAAGCAAACTTTTCTTTCCCCTGAGTAGATGCTATACTATTATAAGGAGCTACTTACAAAGTGGATTTCTGCCTTGTTTCTCTGTGTACTACTCGGTGATACATGTATTGTCGCAACGTCTCTGGAATTTTTCTTTCCAGGCGGCAGATACGTGACTATACACGTCTCTCTGATCCTCCATTATCTGATCCTCGCACTGTTCCTGAGTGCCTTCAAACAGCCAGCATCCTGGAACATTCTTTTCCTGGTTTAAATCCTACCTCTGATGATTTCATTCGCCAGGAGATTTGAAATTCACCCTGTTCCAGTGGGTTTGGCTCTACAAACAGCTAACACCGCGGACGAGAACTTTGAACGTGTTTGTTCTGTCCCCCCTTGTCATGGTTAGGTTGCATTTTTAACTTGTATTTATATCTTCTTTCTTCACATACCACATCTCTAATGATGAGACATTTTATCCTTGTCTCTCTCATTCTTTCGTTCCTTTCACCAGAAACCAGATGTTCTTTTAAGAGGAAAGGTCACTGAGTATCTCTTTTGAACATCTTTTCCTCGTCCTCCTGACGGCCTCCTGTTGCTAAGGGATCCTGAATGCTGCTGTTGTGATACCCTATTCCTGTGTGCCCTTTCTCTCCCAGAAATATTTTGCGAGGTTGTACCCATACCTGTATTCTAATCGCATCATTTAAAGGTGCTCTCTGGGTTTATCCTAAGTCCTTGATAACTTTCTACTCTCATCCTCCTCAAAACCTTTCTACTTGTTCTCATCTAATTAATTGTTTAAATATGGTTGATAGATAATATATGAAGGATGTCATAAAAAGGGGGTTGCAGTGTGTTCTCCGTGTGATATGAGCACCTTATTAATAAAACATGTGAGCAACTGGCCAATCTTTCCGTCAGAACTGGAGTCTGTGCTGCCCACGGGGCCCTTGCTCCCTTTCAGTTCTCCCCAAAACTGAAAACTCCTTCAAATGAGGAAATGGGAGTTCCCGAGTTGGGTTTTTTCAAGTGGATGAAAGTTTTTTCAAGTTGGGCCTTAGTTACGATCTTTCCTTTTGACGTTAAGTGGATGAAAGCCAGTCAGTGGAGTAGTTGGGCCTTAGTTACGATCTTTCCTTTTGACGTAAAGTGTCATGCCTCTTTCCTGAAAATTAACAATGCTCACGCTCAGGTTTTCCAGACCAATAACCACATGCAGAGGGACTCGAAGGCAGCTGTCAGTGAACGGAGTCCTTTTTGTCCGGCGACAGTATGTTTTGGTGGGACGGTGCACCATGGTGAGAATTGGTTTGTGTTTGATAGTAAGTTCAGGTAAGATATTGGAAGTCTTCACTGGCTGTTTGGAAGGGGATGGCTAGTTTACAGAGTGCAAGAGGTCACTTTCTACAGAAACAGGTAGCAAGGGTACCTTGTTTTAAATTCCTTTCACTTTAATTTGCCTTGACAGCCCATTATCGATCTAGAAGTTGGCCTCTCTTTGGTCACAACTGGCTACCCGAAGTAACCACTTTGAAACGTGTGGCTTTTCCCTCCCGAGGCACGGGCAGGACCAGCGGAGAGCCATGGTGGGCTCGCACGTGCAGGGGCCACGTCCCAGAGACCGTGTTGGCTCTTTTCCCGTCGTCTGTGATGGGAAACGTCTGGTGCGGGCAGCACGGGCTCTGGGCCCTGAGACATGTCCCCGCCGCTCCCAGTTCCAGGCCCCTTTTACACAAGTTGGGCTTCCTCTGGTGAGACGGGGATGCTGCAGGTTCCTTAAAAACGATGAGGGGACATGTGGGGAATGGGATGGGGCAGGAAGGGGCAGGAGCTGAGTTTTGCTTCAAGTCAGAAGGAAATCTGATACTTGAATTGTTGGTTTTGGTCAGAGAGCCATGTCTGTACCGGATGTGCCAAAAATCAAGTTGTTTCTTAATATCCAGCTCCTCTGAAGGAACCCAGCTTCCCCCCTACCTGTCTTTTACAGGTGAAGGGGACCATGTAATCAGAAGGACAGAGATGCCCACTCATGACCTGCAGAGGGCAAAGGCTCTGTTTAATTGCATTTGCAAGTTGGTGGGAAATACTCTTAGAATCTCTAACTTTCCCAGAAATATCTGTGCTTAATTATTCAACTCATTAGGCTTTTCAAAAGTAAAAAACAAAAACTGTGTGGCATAATTTTGCTGTTTATTTCTGAAGTTGCACCCCCAAGGAAATATATATATATATTTAAATATATATATATTTATGGCCTCTGAAAGCCAGATGAGTCAGTCCTTCAAATGTGTTTATTTCTTGACATGAACGGATTCTTTCATCAGCAGTACCGGCTTTGTCCACAAGGGGGCAGCAAAGTACTTTAGCTTATTTATTCTGAGCCTTCTAAAGAAAGGGCCTGCTTTCAGCTCTCCCGGGAACATCCTCTCTTGACTCATTGCTTATTTATAGATCTTGGTTCTGAAGACATTGTCCCTTATTACTGCGTCTGGTAGTTGCTCAGCCTTCATGATGCACACAAAGGTTGAGGTGTGGGTCAGAGTTCCTTGCGGGCCAGGCATCTTAATTAGCCTTTTAACATAACGGGGCCCAAGATCCAAAGCCAGGGAGACGTGCTCTGGGCTAAAGTAGGAAGGCGACCCTCCTCCTTCCAAATCCCAGCACCAGTGCAGGACCAACACATCTCTGAGAGGGACAAGAGCAGTGGAGGGAACTCTGGAGTATGAATGAGAAAGTACTTCTCACCTGTTCTGCTCCAAATGGATGTCTGTTACACCAGGAGCAGCCCCAGGGCCAGGGAGACCCCTGCAGCAGCCACTCCTCCAGTTAGAATTCAGTGTGTGTTCCCTCTCTGCCAGTTGTCTTAGGGCTCGAACCCTCATCCGCTCTCCGGCCACGAGTGTTGTTTGTGCTCCTTGCAGCAGCCTCTGCACTGTAAGCAGGTCGGTAGTCAGCGAAGGGGAAACACAGACCCTGACCATTTTCCCTGTAGGGCCAGAGGGTATCTGCCCCTGGCATGGCCTTCCTCAGGCATAGCTGTCTCCTTTCCCCTTCCCTCCCCCTCCCCACCTCCCACCCCCGGCCAATAGAGGTGTCCACTCGTAACTCCATCACTTGATGACAAAAAAATGAAACTGAAGCTGTGATCGGTTTAGAAAACAGGTGGCCAGGTTAACTTGTTTGTTTGTTTTGTGTTTTCCCCGACAGTACTGAAATCACTTGCACTTTTCCTCACTTCTTAGAGAAAAGAAAATCCAGTTTGCTTGCCAGAAATTGTTTAGTGTTGGGTTTACAAAGCTTGTTGTTGAATGTTGAACATTTGTCCAAAGGAGTTTGACAAAGCAGAAGCTGCTCGGTCCCTGTTCTGCCTGCGAGGTCGTAAGGATGAAGGCCGTGTGGCCGGGGTACTTGTGTCAAGTCCAGAAGGGGGCAGTGTCCCCCTCCTACCTCTGCCAAGATGCAATTGAAGGTCAAGTT